CTGAGGTAGGTCCAATCAAACACAGTATTCTGTTGATTGTAAAATGGGGTTTTGCATTTTGCTATGTGACCTTCTTTGAATTCTTTTGTTAATCCAGTCAAGGAAAGAGCATGTGTAGGAGACAAGGTTTGGGTCGATATGAAATCAAATCAGTTTCACACTTTGAGTGCTCTGAAAGTCATTTTTGCATTTTGTTAAAGCAGACTGATGTTTAAGGGCCTCATCTATCGCGAGTTATTTTGCTGAGCTGAAGACTCGAGGGCTGGTGCGATTGGCGTATCCTTCAAATCTTGATACTGATTTCAATGCAGAGTTAAAGTAAGTAAATATTCACGCGTTCTTTCAATTCATGCACTGTGGAAACACACAAATGGTGGACATTCGTGGAAAAGAGAGTCGAAATAGAGATTATTATTCACGCACAACCGCCTTATATGAAATCCAAAGCGATAGGTATTTAGTCGAGATTTGGAGTTTGTCTCCTGCCGCCTACTTAACTGGTCTTTTTTGTAGGTTGTAGACCTACCGCCTTGTTGCTAGGCCGCGGTCATACTTTGCGCCTACTCTTCCAAACTGAGTGTGGAGTAAAGGCGATCATGCGATCGCAGGATTTCAAGATCGGTACCTATATATTCCACCCTCGAACTGCAAGTAGCAAAGTGTGAACGCGACTTCACGGGCGTTTTTTCCGCAGGTTGTAGATAGGGTGGGTCACGCGGTGGTTGCAAAACAAAGAGAAAAAGCTCTGACAAGGGGTGTTCGGTTACAGGCTCTTTTTCACATATCTAGTAAATAAAGCGAGCGATTGAATGATTTCTTTTTTAGAGCACTGCCTCCTGCTGTCTACGCCGGTTTTGATCCTACCGCTCAAAGCCTCCACATTGGCAATTTATTAATTGTAGTTAACCTCTTGAGAAGTGCGCAGTTTGGTGTGCGGCCAATTGCTATCGTTGGCGGCGCTACTGCAGCAATTGGAGACCCGAGTGGAAGGTCTACTGGTTGGTGAGCTATTTTGCTGCCTTTGCACTTTATCAACAAAAAATAGTTTGATCCTAATTCATATTCATGAATAAATAAACAAATAAATATTAGAACGTGAGGCTCAAGACAAGGATCAATTGGTGGAAAATACTGAGGCGATTACCGTTCAGTTGAAAAACATTGCTTGTAATGTACTGAAGGAGGAAATCACGGTGGTTGACAACAATGAGTGGTTCAAGGAGGTGCGTGATTATTTCTTCTTTGTTCCACTTGATTCCGTTCCCCGTGTTCTGGCTATTGTAGTTCTTTGCCTGGGTCTTCCTTAATATTTATTACTAGTTCAGATGTCAATGGTGGATTATTTGAGAAATTGTAAGCAACTACGCGTCGGTGAAATGCTTCGGATGGGAGCTATAAAGGCCCGCTTAGAGGACAGTGGAATTTCCTTCACAGAATTCAGTTACCAAACGATGCAGGCGTACGATTGGGCCATGATGGTGAAGAAATATGACTGCAGGTTTCAGGTTCTTTATAGAAATTTTGTGACCGTTGTTATAGATTTGGTTTAACTACATGTGTCGATACCAGAGCGGAGCACAGCATGCATGAAATTTCATCTAGTATTGCGAAGCCGTTGTGTTTGCACCGTATGTACCATGGCTCTCATTTTCTGAACATTGCTATTCCCAAATCAGAGATCTACTCCCTTTATAGTGCTGAAGACGTGGAACAGAAAAGCAGCAATCTCAGTGAGATGATGGATGTTGAAGCGAGGGTGCCAAGTGGTCTCTGAAAAAAAATTCAGAGAAAAGGGCAGTTCCCAAAACCATTTTCTTACCTGTTGCTATCAGAAGTGGGCGAGTTTAGCGTTAACATTGAGGCCGTCACGGTGGATATGGCTTTCTGCCGACAACGATTGTTAAGCAATTACTGTTCCAAGGTTGTGCTGAAGTTCCTTAGATAAGAAAATTGAGCTACTAGGGAAACGGTTAAATCTCAAGTACATTGCCGTTATTATCCTTGCATATGAGGCAGTGAGCGTGTCCGGGGACTATTGAGGTCCCTTCGGCGCTCTACGCGCCTTCAATAGCGCAAACTCCGCCGCGAAACGCCATCATCCTCTAATTGTACCTTCACTATCCTTTCAATTAAACATCTTTTTCTTCCATAGTCGTCATTTCTATCACTATTTTTGTCTGTAATTGATCCATGGAAGCAGTAGGAGTTCTCTTGTGGGCTGGAAATTCCCCATCTTTCTGCGCTCTGGCTCGAGACGCTCGTCCAGTTTGTTTGAGTACAATGGTTGTTTGATTTCAGATTGGTGGCTCTGACCAGTTGGGTCACTTGGATATTGGTGCTCATTACATCAAAAGAACATGCGAAGGGACATTTGCGGCAGGTGCGTAGCTGATTTAGATATTCATGGTGTAGCTGATTTAGATATTCATAAAGTCGAACCCTTTCATGGTTTCGTAAATTATATATGCCGAACATTCCAGGTGTTTGCTTACCATTGGTGACAGATAGTGCTGGAAATAAGTTGGGGAAATCAGAAGGTGGAGGTGACGTTTGGCTCAGTGCAGAATTGACATCGCCTTTTCACTTTTATCAATTCCTTCGTCAGCTACACGATACAGAAGCTGAGCAAATGTACAAGCAATACAGGTGTCAATATTTTGTCAGCTATTGTTTCTTGCCAGTTCTATTTGTTTTTCTATATAAATGCGGTATAGTAAACACGAAAAATCTAACACTTGCTCCCTTTCATGAAAGCATAAATGTAAGCATACTGTAACGTAATTTCAGTTTGGCTCCATGGGAAGATGTGCTGCAGAAGATCGACGAACATCGTTCAAATTTGGGGAAATGGATTGCACAGGATGCGCTTGCTACTGAGCTCACTCAGATCGTGCACGGAGACGAAGGATTGCGCACTGCTCAGCGATGTTCTAGAGCACTCTTTCAAGGTTATTTTTTACAGCTGTGTAAAGTTCGTGTACAAAATTGACACGTGGCAAGAAACAATAGCTGACAAAATATTGACACCTGTATTGCTTGTACATTTGCTCAGCTTCTGTATCGTGTAGCTGACGAAGGAATTGATAAAAGTGAAAAGGCGATGTCAATTCTGCACTGAGCCAAACGTCACCTCCACCAACTGATTTCCCCAACTTATTTCCAGCACTATCTGTCACCAATGGTAAGCAAACACCTGGAATGTTCGGCACATATAATTTACGAAAGCCATAAATGAGTTCGACTTTATAAATACCTAAATCAGCCACACCATGAAAATCTAAACTAGCTACGCACCTGCCGCAACATTTCTCTCGAAATGTCCTTTTGATGTTAATGAGCACCCCCCATACAAGTGGCGGCCAACGTCAGAGCCACGCAATCGAAAATTCAAACATAACCATGGTACTCAAACAAACTGTTGACGAGCACGTCGAGCAAGAGCGCAACAGCCAGAGCCTCAACAGCCCTCGGAACACGCTCACGGCCTCATATGAAAAGATAATAACGGCAATGTACTTGAGATTAAACCGTTTCCCTAATCGCTCAATTTTCTTTTCTAAGGAAATTCAGCACAGCCTTGAAGCAGTAATTGCCTAACGATCGCTGTCGGCAGACTGCCATATCCACCGTGACGACCTCAATGTTAACGCTAAACTCGCAAATTTCTGATAGCAACAGGCAAGAGAAGGGTCGAGAACTATCCCCTTTTCTCTCAATTTTTTCAGAGACCACTTAGCACCCTTGCTTAACCACATGCCTCACCACCCGAGATTGCTGCTCTTAAACTGTTTCACGTCTTCATACTATTAAGGGATAGATCTGCTATTTGGGAATAGCACATGTTGCAAAAGCGAGAGCACTGTAACAGGCACGGGTGCAACCAACAGCGGTTATCGATATAGATGAATTTCATGTATGCGCGCTCCGCTACTGGACCTCGAACGCATTAGTGGTAACAAGGTAAACAACTTCCTATAACCAACAACGGTCCACAAAATTTCTATAAAGGAACCTGGAGACACTGCCGTCATATTTCTTGCGAGGCCATATGGGCCCAATCGTACGCCTGCATTGTCTGGTAACTGAATTCTGTGAAGGAAATTCCACTGTCCTCTAAGCGGGCCTTTATAGCTCCCATCCGAAGCATTTCACCGACGCGTAGTTGCTTACAATTTCTCAAATAATCCACCATTGACATCTGAACTAATAAAAACTATTAAGGAAGACCCAGGCAAAGAACTACTAATAGCCAGAACACGGGGAACGGAATCAAGTGGAACAGAGAAATAATCGCCACGCACCTCCTTGAACCACTCATTGTTGTCAATCACCGTGATTTCCTCCTTCAGTACATTACAAGCAATGTTTTTCAATTGAACGGTAATCGCCTCAGTATTTTTCCACCAATTGATCCTTGTCTTGAGCCTCACGTTCTAATATTTATTTGTTCATTTATTCATGAATATGAATTAAAATCAAACTATTTTTTTGCTGAAAAAGTGGGAAGGCAGCAAAATAGCTCACCAACCAGTAGACCTTCCACTCGGGTCTCCAATCGCTGCAGTAGCGCCACCAACGATGGCGATTGGCCGCACACCAAAATGCGCACTTCTCAAGAAGGTTGACTAACAATTAATAAATTGCCAATGTGGAGGCTTTTAGCGGTTGGATCAAAACCGGCGTAGACAGCAGGAGGCAGTGCTCTAAAAAAGAAATCTTTCAAACGCTCGCTCTATTTACTAGATATGTGAGAAAGAGTCTGTGATTGAACACCCCGTTTCAGAGCTTTTCTCATTTGTTTCGCAACCACTGCGTAACCCACTCTATCTACAACCTGCAGAAAACGCCTGTAAAGTCGCGCTTTCACTTTGCTAGTTGCATTCCGAGGGTGGAGTAGATAGGTGTTAATCTTGAAATCCTGCGATCGCATGATCGCCTTTACTCCACACTCAGTTTGGAAGAGTAGGCGCAAAGTATGACCGCGGCCTAGCAACAAGGCGGTAGGTCTACAACCTACAAAAGACCAGTTAAGTAGGCGGTAGGAGACAAACCCCAAATCTCGACTAAATACCTATCATTTTGGATGTATATAAGGCTGTTAAGCATAAATATCATCTCTATTTCGACTCTCTTTTCCAAGAATGCCCATTATTCGTGTGTTTCGACAGTGTAAAAACTAAAGGAACGCGTAAATATTTACTTACCTTAATTCTGCATTGAAATCAGTGTCAAGATTCGAAGGATACGCCAACCGCACCAGCCCTCGAGTCTTCAGCTCAGCAAAATAACTCGCGATAGATGAGGCCCTTAAACATCAATCTGCTTGAACAAAATGCAAAAATGGGACTTTCAGAGCACTCAAAGTGTGAAATCGATTTGATTTGATATCGACGCCAAACCTTGTCTCCGACACATGCTCTTTCCTTGACTGGATTAACAAAAGAATTCAAAGAAAGGTCACATAGCAAAATGCAAAACCCATTTTACAATCAACAGAATACTGTGTTTGATTGGACCTACCTCAGCGAAGAGGTTGACAAATGCTTGCACATATGACGAAATCGAGAAATACGTGTCCCCCTCAGAGACTCATTGAATCGGCAAAGGTGCGGAAACATCAGCATTCCTAAAAACAACCCCTCAATCTTCAACTGCAAGCCACAAGACTGTCACCACGAAATTAAACGAACCTCAATTTCCATGAAAATGACAAGCTGATGAATGGCGCGAGAACCTGTGACCCAATGACAAAAAACCGTGTCTGCCAGCCGCAATCGCTTAGAAGCAGATACTTTTCATTTTTTGCACCTTTGCAAAAGGAGAGTCCGTAGAGCAACTCCACCCTTTAATTGGCATTAGAGCATACTGTTCCTAAATTCCAAGGCCATGGTTTTATAACAAATGTATGTATTTATTTCGTAGGGGTTTCCCATCTCTCCTTCCGCTTCTTCGATCGTACTGGGAAATTAGTAGTGCAGCAGCGCTTTTGAAGATCTGGATGTTAGACATCTTGGCTGTTGTCGCTACAAGAACCAAACGCGTATTGAGAACTTTTCATTTGCAGACCCTTAACAAAACTTTTTATTGCTGGTTTTCAGATGGATAATGCCGTGGAGGAGGTGGTCCATGGGATAGTTCACACAATTTCTGATAACCCGGCTGTGAATTTCCCCCAAAGTAGAGGTAAGAAGTTCCAGTTCGTTTTTCGTTCACTAGTCGTTGTTCTTGCGTTAACATTCATGATAAGAAGATTTTTGTACCCAAACCGACGTGATAGGGTTTGTCTTCGCATCTTCTTGCAGTTTTGCAGTTAAAAAATGTCTAATCGATTTCTAAACAGTGTGTGGAGAAGTCGTAGTCTCTGACTTTTGTTGTGGAATGCTGTAGTACCAAAGTACATATAACAATCTTGTTAGTAAGCAGGTATAGGTTTCAGCTGGGTAACTGGATGTGAAAAGAAGCGATCACGCTGGCTTAGGGGTGTGTAAGAGCTCCGCAGGTTTTATCGACGAAGGGAGTCGGGAGAAGAGCTGATTGTGAGATGGAGTTTGTTCGGAGGAGTTCAGGCTTGCAGAGGAGAGGCCGCTCGTTATCCATGGCGCGGATATCTATGATTAGTGAGCGCGAGAGCGACAACTTTTACATGTCAGCCATGCAGCCGTTGCCACTCTTTCTACGTCCATAAAGTGGATTGGCAAGAGTTCTGGAGTTGAAAAGCTCTTTTCCATTGCAATGTCACGTTTTTATAACCAGATTAGTCCCCCGTCAACCGCCGGGACCTTCCTTTCCTGCGCAAGCTTTCTATCCTCCGCTATGGTCCCTTCCTCCTGTGACACCAACACCTCCTGGAAGTGACGCGTATGCAACACAATGGTGTTTCATACAGTAGAAGGGACACAATCATGATATGACGGTAGATTTTTCGCTTCCCTTCCTCATCCTCCCTTCCTCTCTCCACTGCCCTCCAGCTGCCACTGCAGCACCATGTGGAATGAACGGAAGTGTGCGTACAACTTCGTATAGCACGCTGTCTCTCCACTCACCTACCGCCCTAAAGATGATTTCACAACTATCCTGCCTGCAGAAACAGTTTATATCTCAAATCCTGTAAGCTACCGCGTTAATTAGCGTTTGTTCCTCACTCATAGCTTCCTTCTCACTTCCAACACTCCTCACTCCCCCCGACAACCGTCATTTTGCGACGGTACACTACACTACATTTTATCTACAACATCATCCTTCACACACCAACGACACACACACATATTCCAGATACACAATACTGGAACACCACAGTTCAGCGCTTAATAATATTATAAGTCAAGGATTGTCCTAGAAGCGCCACCTATACGTCTTATTCGATGGTCTCGGTACCTGTAGAGACGTTACCTGACTAAGTCTCTACCTAAGGTGGGATAGGTGGCGCGGGGTTCTCCTATGCACCTCTCCCTTTCTTTTTCACGGAATTTTTGGCGACCGCTTCCGTGAAAAGAGCGCGCAAAAAGATCTCGCGTTAATCTCCTAGTTCTGATAGATACATCATATTTTGTCCACGCGCATCCGCGGAACCTCTCCTCTCACGCTCAGTCACGCTCTCTCTACCGCGCATCCCACCCACCCCGTTATGCTGTATTCCACTTGTTAGCTGAACAACTCGTGCAGGGGATGCCTGCCGAAAAGAATGTACTGTACGGTAAATAGATTTATAGGCAATCATGACTCACCAGAATTATTTCTTTTTTTTTTTTTTTTTTTTTTTTTTTTTTTTTTTTTTTTTTTTTTTTTTTTTTTTTTTTTTTTTTTTTTTTTTTTTTTTTTTTTTTTTTTTTTTTTTTTTTTTTTTTTTTTTTTTTTTTTTTTGACTTTTTTCCTCCAACCTCCGCTCACCCTTCGTAATAACTTCCCTCTCTTTGATACCCTGCAAAGAGTGTAGTTGCTAACCTGCCAACCACAAACAACATGGTTAACTGGCAAAATTTTTGATCAACGGCCGAACCCGGGTGCTTTCACCTTCTTCGAGAGTTTCAAAACGGTGCTGTAATCAGAGAAATCTTGCATGCCTCTGTACGAATCGTTGACTAAATGGAAGACTAGACCCAGACAGCATGGAACAAGTCAGTAGAGACCAGGAGGGAGAGAAACCAACCATAACAAATTGGTAGTCATTAGTTTTGTGCTGACCTTCTTGGATCATCCTTTTTGTGTGTGGCAGGCCTGGGATGCTGGAAGCGCAATTCCTTTTTGGTATTCCTTTTTTTTAGCTGTTATACGATTTCAGCGATTGTTTTGTTTGTTTGCTTTTTTTTCTCGTCTAAACATACCTGTACCGAACTAACACCCTCTGCCCTGTTTTAGCGCACCAGTGAGTGCATAAATAAATAAATAAATGAATAAATAACAGAGCCGAGTTTGGAATCAATGTTGAGGTATCATACGTGAGGTCATGGTTTCGTTAAGATCCTCTATTGTGCAAGATATCCTTTGTGCCTTTTTTTTCACGAAAGCGGGAAGAGCAAGTGGAAGTCGTCAAGTACCAAGTATTCGCAAGGTAATGAGAGCTTCCGACGGCTACGGAAGGAAAGCTGGTATTCCATAAGATGCCGTTCAAAGGTTGCGCAGAAATTGTTTTGCGTCCAGAAGTTTTAGGGATTTACACAATTTTTTACAGTTTACTTAACCGATGATAGTATTTCTGAAACTCAGCTTGAAGAGAGGGCTACCATTCCTGGAAAGAAGCGAATGAGTCATGCTGGTATTAAATGTTTTTCAAACCCCATTGGTTCTCGCTGGATACCATCCTGGTCCGACGGCTTCTTGCACTCTGGCACTTTAAGCTGCCTGGCCGGACGCATAGTCGGTCGGACGACAGCAACGACTGCAAGTGTCGCACAGCATTGGGTGCGTATCGATCTGCGACACCTGCGACACTTACGTCGTCCGACGCTGCTGTCGGACGACAGCAACGACCGCAAGTGTCGCATAAACCGCGGTTGCAAATGGAAGGCGACGCGGTAAGTGTCGTAGATCAATACGCAGCTACTATTCCACACTACAGTGGGACTTTCGAAATACGATCACGCGCAGTCACGTGTTGTCTGGGTTAGCATTGGGTGACCGCGTCGCCTTCCATTTGCAACCGCGGTTTATGCGACACTTGCGGTCGTTGCTGTCGTTGCCTGGCGTCCGGCCATGGCCGATGTCAGACTTTGCGATTGGAGCGATTTTGCACCAATTGCAGGAGCGACGGATCGCTCCAAAGTGCGAGCGACGGGAGATTTACCCGAGCGGCGCCGTGTGTATCGGTCGTCGGCGGGGTAAATCTCCCGTCGCTCGCACTTGGTGCAAAATCGCTCCAATCGCAAAGTCTGACATCGGCCACTCGACGCTTTCGTCTGCGCTCTCTCGTCGGCTGATGACCACTGCGATCTCACACATTCAAACTTTTGCCACAATGCAACTGGCTCACCCACCTCGGATTCCCTCCCCCTTACAAGGCTTAGTCCTAAGGCTCTCACCTCCCTCCTTGGGATTTGGAGCCGAGCCAGGCGCCATTCTCTGATCGTCTGTGCTCTCCGCCATTCGTGGCAGGACCATGGACGAAAGTGCAAGTAGTCCGTAAACGGCTGCGCAAGCCACACGACGGGAATAATAGTAATTGGTAGTACATGTTTTGCAACGGATACGCTTCTGCGTATCTGGTTGCAAACATTACTATTCTTGTTTGCTCAAGCTCTATTGTGATCCCTGAAGGTATCTGAATTCGGGCCCAAGAAGGCCAGCAATAACATGAAGTAAATAGAGTGGGGAGACACCGAGTTCAGAAACGGTCCTTAAATGAAAATTCATCGGAGATTGCGTTCGGGGTAGCCATACTGACCACACTACGCAAGAGCTTTGAATGTCACTCAGCATCGTGTTGTTTGAAGTACTTTTAAGTGCTGTTTGAATGTAGTACATTGGTTTTTAAAGTACGTAGCAATTGTAGGCGCAGGCATTACGTTCTTCCCTGACTTACTCTGTTTTTGTAAGTTTCTTCAGCTACTGACTGTGAGTTTTCCAGATGGATGGCGAAGTTACCGGAATCATGAATGAGATTGTTGACCACGTTTCGCTTTGGGGGCAATCCTTCTACAGTCGAGGTGACTCGCCACAATTTATCTCTACTAGATCTTGTAACTTAATTGTAACAAGATTAATTACCTTTGTGCTTTTGTATTCAGATGGGTTTCTACACATTAGACTATCGGAGAGCTCCTTCAATGGCCTCAGCTCCATCTACGAGTGGAAGTGAATTCGGCGATATAAGTGACAGTGAACTGCCTGTTCTTGAGAGCGATGACGATTCGGACGAGGAATTTGAGAAGTTTGTTATCATTTTCAGCACCTCTCTTATTTATAAGTACAGTTCGTGGTTGTTGGTTGGCAGAGTTATAATGTTCCGTGTAGGCTGGCTTTGATTCTTGGGGCTTCTGGCTTCGTCATTCGCTAATAAGAGGAGTGGTAAAAAGTTCAGGGGCCATATTCTATCCTTCGTCTGGGGAACTGATTCTATCAGCTACTTGGGAGATACAGGGTCGTGTAACAGGACCCGTCTTGAGTGCGTGGTTGTAGTACCCCCCCATTGAGGTACACTTTTTCTGGGGGGGGGTCGCGCTGTCTGGAGTCTACAAGCGCAGCGTATGGCTAGTTCTATGAAGCATCCCTGTCTCCCCCCAGGCTGAGGATAGAATCAGCAGCAGGGGACGCGTCTTCCAGAAGGAAGGATGATACGCGACCCCAGACAATGAGATCTAAACAAACTGTGCTAATCCCACAGGTTGTACACAATGTGACGGGGCAATTTCGTCCTCGAAGATGTGATACGAAGGGCTTATTGAAGCAACCTAATGTTCGTATTGCCAAGAGGGCGACATTTAAGCTCCAGATTAGATCACTCATCAGTGCTTGATGTAGCATTGATCAGCATTTATTCACTAAACATTAACTTAGTAGGATAATATTTTAGGCTGCAGAGTTTGTCTTGCGAATTGCGTCAGAAAACATTCGAAAAAGAACATCCTGACGGAGTGCCTAAGCAGAAGAGGGTGAAAGTTGAGAAAGTGATAGACAAAAGCGACTTGGAGCATGAGTGAGTTTCGTAT